TGTTTTAGGCACAAGAGATAGAGCCATAAACAAGCAGATTCAATCACTGTTCTCAACTGAGGTACTACTCTGATATAAGAGAGGAGACAGAAATAAGTAAACATTATAAATCAACTACATACTTTTACACAGTGTAAAGTGCAATTAAGAAAATATTATTGAATAGAGGTCAATTTTGGAATGGTTGGGCAGGGAAGACCTTTGGAAGTGACATGAAGTTGGTCTGGGCACCATGCGAAGCTATGCCATGGTGAAAAGTGTTCCAGACAGAGTAGACAGCAACAGCAGAGGCCCTGAATGAGAATGAACTTGGCTTATCTGAAGAGTAGAATGAAGGCCAGAGTGGTAGGATACATACTAATAGTAGAAGAAAAATGATAGAAAAGAGAGGGTTTGAGTAGGTGGGCAGGAATTGGACAACATGGTGTCTCATATGTCATAATAGAAGTTTGGATTTTATTCTACCTGCAGTGAGAAGTTGTTAATAAAAAAAAAATCTATATACTGGAGTTTGAGAAAGAACTATGTCGATGATAGCATAAACCCTCAATCATTTGTCACATAAACTCCAAACTTCAGCAGAGACTTAGGGAGATCAAAGGGACTACCATAGGATTACCCACTGGCTAAAATTCAGATCCATGGCAGTTGGTCCTGACTGGAATTAGACTTCCTTATCTGTTGTCCTCATTGCAGTGGGTCTGAATGTCTCTGTCGACTGTGAATTCGTCTCCCTCTATCTGTGGCATTGAGAAGGTGGCCCAGACTTCTGGAGTCTGTCCCATTGGCCTATTACCTGGGGATTAGCTGCCTTTCTTCTGGAAGTTTGGGTATTTGTCTTCAGGACATATTTAAAGGCCTCCTGAAAGCAATGTTAACAATAGCAGAATGTTTTTTATGGTCTTCTACTCAGACTTGGATTTCTAAGAACCAGGGATGGAGACTGTGTTTCCAGATCTAGTCAAATCCCTTCCAAACATAAAGCAACAAAGTGCCTTTTAAACTAGGACTTGTACTATTTAATGCTCTGGAAACAAATACCCACGCTTCAGCCAAAGGAGGGAAAGCAATGTTCAGGAAGCTTCCTGAAAGTTTTTTGAAAGCAATTTTCATGCATTAGTATTTTACACACACACACACACACACACACACAGCGCTAATGAGACAATTGATCTTCAGGAACTAACATGAAATAATTGGGGTCTCTTGGTATTATTGTTATAGATAAATATTGAAGAAGTTCATTCATTCTTTCAGATATTAATTGAGCACTTACTGTGTACTAGGAACTGTGATAGATACTGGGAATTTAATGGTGAACAAGATAAATTCTCTGCCATCAAGGAGCTTATATTCTAACAAACTTAAAATTTACTGAGTGTTCTCTGTATTTCAGCAATGTTACTAACTGCACTAACTCAGTGGGGAAGCTAGACAATAAACAAAGAAGCATGTAATAAGAATTAATAGTAAGTGCTGTAAAGAATACTAAAGCAGGTTATGGTAGAGAGATTAATGGCAGCCTGAAGATGTCCATGTTTCAATCCCCAGAACCTGTGAATATGTTACCTTACAAAGCAAAAGAGGCTTTGTGAACATAATTAAGGGTTATCTGGGCAGGCCCAATGTAATAATAAGAGTTGTCATAAGACGAAGGGACAAAGGTCAAAGACATAGAAAAAGAGAAGATTTAAGGATAGAAACAAAGAGGAGAGATGTTACACTGCTGGCTTTGAAGATGGAAAAAGTGAACATGAGCCAAAACAAATAAAACATAGAACAAAACAAAATCCACAGGTGACCTCTAGAACAGGGGTCCCCAATCTCTGGGCCATGGACCCGTACCTGTCTGTGGCCTGTTAGGAACCAGGCCGCCCAGCAGGAGATGAGTGGTGAGTGGCCCACAGGCAAGCATTACCTCCTGTCAGGTCGGTGGCAGCATCAGATTCTCACAGGAGCCTGAATCCTACTGTGAACTGCATATGCAAGGGATCTAGTTTGTGCCCCTTATGAGAAACTAATGCCTCCAAAAGGCTCACCCCACCAAACTGCCCCCATCTGTGGAAAAACTGTCTTCCACAAAACCGGTCCCTGGTGCCAAAAAGGTTGGGGACCGCTGCTCTAGGAGCTGGAAAAGAGGAGACATATTTTCCCCTAGAGCCTACAGAAGGAATACAGGCCTGCTGGCACCTTGATTTTAGTCCTGTGAAACTGATTTTGGATTTCTGACCTCCAGAAATATAAAACAATGCATTTGTTTTGTTTCAAGTCACTAAATTTGTGGTAATTAGATACAGCAGTAGTAAGAAATGAATACACAGGTTTACAGGATGGTGAATTATGGAGGGTGCTCAGGAGTGGCCTCTTTGAGGTGCTGGCCTTCAAACAGAAAAATGAGCAAAGTGAAGGAATGGACCATCTGGTGGGGAGAAAAGCGTTCCAGCCAGAGGGAACAGCAAAAGCAAATGCTCTGAGAAGGGATTCCTCTCAATGTGTTTGACGACTAGCAAGAAGGCTTTGTGTGAATGAGCAAGAGGAAAAAGTTGGTAGGTGATCTCAGAGACATAGCCAGGGTCCAGATTAGGGAGGACCTTTCGACTTGCTAAGCATTTGGACTTTATTCCAAGAATAATGGGAAGTTATTGGAAGGTTGTGAGCCGAGTTATACACTCTTGTTATTTTTAAAAGGCACAATGTAACTACAAAGTGGAAAATCGGCTCTGGGCTGTAGATATCAGCACAGGCGAAAGGGAAAGCAGAGAGATGGGTTGGGAGAGCTGAGACTGAAGTTATCCAGCTGAGGGGTGCAGAAGTGCGGACTGCAATGACAGCAGGCAGAAAGGACTATCTGTTCTAGACAGAATGGACAGGAATTTGCTGGTAGATTGGATTGAAGGTATGAGACAAAGGAGACATGGATGATATCAAGGATTTTGATACTATAGATTTGAAACATTCTGAGAGGGACAGGTTTGTGATGGAAAATCATGAGTCTGGTTTTAGAAGCTTATTGGACAGCCAAGTAGAGATGTCAGGTAGGCAGTTGGACATAATACCTGAAGTTCAGGAGAGTGGTTGAAGCTGGTGTCATCATTTGCAGAACCCTGGATAGTACATAAAGCACGGGACAGCGTGTGTGGATAGATCCTAAAGACAGAGCCCTAGGGCATTCCAGCTTTTACAGTCCTGGAAAAAGGCAGCTTATCAAAGGAAAAAAAGATAGAAAGAAGGTAACACAACTCTCATTATTTCCACCTTCAGGACAATTCAAAGCCACTGTTTTTGACTTCCTAGCTTGAGTGAAGCTTGAAAAATGGCAACTTGCACCTTTGCAAAACTCCTAATGAGTAGCCATTGGCTTGGTCTGTTTGCCCTGGCTCTGGGTGAGCTTTTAAAATGCCAGTGAGCTCTAATTGTGTTGATTGCCTAACAGCTGTGAATACAAGCTGCTGACTCCAGAACTGCAACTCATTTTGCGAAGGGCACCATCCTTTTCCCACTAATGACTGCTGAGCAGAGCCACCTGAAGCCTGCATGGGGTTTAGCAGCAGCTGCACTTCTGCTCTAAGAAATAGCTCACTGCAGTCAGATCAAACTGAAGCTCTTCCTTGCTTTTCCTCGAAGCTTGGGTACTTATTGCCGGAGCATTAAACAGTAAGAGTCCTAGCTTAACTGATGCACAGTGCTTTATGTTTGATAGGGATTTGGTTAGGCCTACAAACCATCTGAACTAAGAACCTTGAGAAACTCCTGCTATAGTTAGCTCTTTCTGTGACTTTGCAGTGTGACCAGGAATGAGGACAGAATAAGAATTTGCTGCCTCTATGATAGAACTGTTTAGGCACTAGAACACTGGAACTAGATCTACAACCCATGCATTTAATTTCCTCTTCAACTCCCCTACTCCTTTTTTCAATATGATGGTAATGACCTTGTTTAAAAAAAAAAAAAAAAAAAAGCCTTCTGCTTTACTTCCCACTCTGCTCCTCTTCCCAGGGACTCGCTTTCTTCCTGACTGCTCTCGCATTATAAATACTCAGCTCCCTGTGTTATCACTATGCTTAGAGCAGCCATTATCAGCCTTGGCTAAACATTGGAATTACCTGGGAACTTTTAAAAATCCGGAAGTCTGGGTCTCGCCTCCAGAGATTCCAGCTTAATTGTCTTGAGTGTGGCCTGGATATTTGGGTTTTCAAAAGTTCCCCATGTAATTTTAATGTGCAACCACTATTGAGTATCACTATCCTCCAGACTCTCTTGTGTTTTCCAAATTAACGAGCAGCTGATATTAGAAATCTCACTTACCAGGAGAAAAGGGTGAACACCCCCCCAGCCCCCCCGGGGTCGTCTCCTTTTCCAGGTGACACTTCTTTATAGCAGTGCGTGAAAGAGAAGCCCTGCTGCTTGAAATCTCCCTCAAGGGAGTGTAAGATCCAGGCAAAGACAAGATTGCAGAGGAGATACCTTGGGGGAAAGTAGTATCCTAAATACTTACACCTGGAGGCACTTACCTTTAATACTGAATTTGTCAGATGCAAATTTGTCTATGCAAACCAGGGCCTTATCTGTAGCTTCCCCTCAGGGGTTTTGGGAAGTGCGCTAGTACTCCGTAACAGGGTTGTAAAGCACCACCTCTGCTCGCCAGGGAACCCTCTGGAAAGGAGGTGGAAAAAGAGGCTTCCACCCTTGCAACTCAAAGTGTGTTCCTTGGCCAGCGGGATCCATTACCTAGTATTTTCTTAGATATGTGGTATTTGGGGGCCAGTCCCACACCTGTTCAATAAGAATCTCCATTTGAACAAGACGCCCAAAGGATGATATGCAAGTTTGAGGAGGGCTGGTTTAACTTGAGGGTAACGAAAAGTGCGAAACCGTACTTTGCAGGAGAAGCTAGGCGGAGGGAGCCAATTATTCTTCCTCTTGCAGCTGGGTCTTTTTGTAGTGAGTGGCGAAGCGGGAGGCTGGCAGGCCAGGGTGCTGGACTGGGTCAGGCGCGGCCCCGCCTCCCTCCTGGGTCCTTGCCCTGCGCGCGGTTGCTGTGGCAGCGCAGGACGCGGCTAGAGCTGGGGCTGCCGCGCCCTCCACCTCCTCCTCCAAAGGCCTCCCCGTACCCCTGGCTCGGGCCCAGCCTGCGGCTCTGCCATGCCCTGGAGGAGGCGCAGGAACCGGGTGAGTGCCCTGGAGGGCGGCCGGGAGGAAGAGGCGCCCCCGGAGGCTGCCGCTGTGCCTTCGGCGCTGTTAACGTCCCCGCAGCAGACGGAGGCGGCGGCCGAGCGGATTCTGCTCCGGGGCATCTTCGAGATCGGGAGGGACAGCTGTGACGTGGTACTGAGCGAGCGGGCACTGCGGTGGCGGCCCATTCAGCCAGAGCGCCCGGCGGGTGAGTGTCAGGCCCCAAGCGTCTTCGCCTCCCTCCGCGCCTCCTCCCTCTCCCCGGCCCAAGGCCTGCCACCCGCGCGCTTTCGCTCCACCCTCTCCTTCTCTCTCCTCCCCTCCCCGGGCTCTCCTCACAGCCCGGACTCTCCTCACAGCCTGGACAGGTTACCGAGTCCCCAAGTCGCCGCCGCCTCCTTCCCAACCGGGAACTCACGCCCCTCGCCCCACCCCAGAACCCCCAGGGATTCATTTCGCTACCTAGCCTTCTCCCGCCTCCGGGACCTTCCCCGGACAAACGTCACACTCAGCTTTTGTTCAGCGTCTCAGCAGAAAGTCTTGAGCCACAAAGGGGAGGTCATTTACAAATGTGAGAAGGTCACCTACTCCGCCCCTCCAAGTTGAAAAAGTTTTAATCCATCAATTTGATGGTACATTGAAACTATAAACATTTTACAGATTATGCATACACAAGAGTTCTGAATCCAACTTTCATTTTGCTGACTTGAAAATGTAACCCCAGAGCTTTGGGAGCGTTTCTGGATTTTTTTCTGCCCCTCACCTCCCTTGCCATTGTCAAGAATTAAGACTTCTTCAGGCTCAGTCTAGAAACTTTTAATTTTTAATATTGACCCTAGAATATTGGATCACAGTTTTGCGATACTTAGTTACGTCAAGCGGTTTGCTCACGTTTGCCTTTTATTGACTTAAAATTTTAGTTACCTAAAAAAGTTAGAATGCTGTAGTTTACAACAGACATACTTGGAGTCTATTTTCACGTCTTAGTCAAATGGCTTTATAAACTTACAGATAACTTATAAAGACCATTTTACAAGTCTTGCAGACTTTCATATAGTCTTATTTCTAAGTCCAAACTCGAGAAATACTCCCCGTTGTTGAATTAGCTCAGCTGTGAGTGGTGAAAGAGATGAAATGGGGGAGGAACTACATCAAGGTTACTCGCTAGGAGATGACTTGTGGGAAACGGAATTTGGTATCAACCTCTTTTAGCTAAATACAAACTTATGAAATTAAAAAAATTTGCCTTCCCCTGTTGGAAAACAAGACACAGTGTGCTATTTATGTTACAGAATAGAAAGACTCATTGTCTTCAAGTTTCTTGCTCAAAAGTCTAACGAAATGAAACCAACTAGCCAGGGTCTCAGCACTGGTTGCGATTGTGAATTCTGCCTGTGCTGCATGTGCCATGGTCGCTCACTTCATGAAAACAGTCTTTGACCTTAAAGTGTTTTCAGGTGTTCTAAAAGCCAAGGTGTAGTATTTTCTTGAACCTTTTAAGTTAAAAGCTAGGGATATAGCTATAGAATTATTTGTAAGTCTTTCAGGCAATTCGAGTTATGCAATATAGAAGTTTATAATTAGAGTTTGGATTAGCCCAAAGAGTCAATTTAACCTACAACGCAGCTGAAATACTATAGAATTAAAATGAGACATTGTGCAATGAGAGGTCATACAAACCAATGTTGCAGTATTTGTGTACAAAAAAAGCAAACAATGACATGAGAAAAATGCTGTTTTTTATTGAGTGGTGATTAAGGAAAAATAGGTTTAATTAGCGCACCCCTGGCAGTAGAGTTCTAAAATACATCTTGATAGATTTGTAACTTTAAAGGTTGTAAGTACTGATTCTTTGTTTAATTATGCCCTAAAATCATTTGATTGTCTCTTTCCTTCAAACAGGTGTACCCTTTTTTCTTTGTAATTAAGAGCTGGTATTCAAACTACTTTGGGCCTCTAAAATTGGGGACACAGAAGCCTAGAGCCTTAGTAAGTACTTCTATTTATGGAAAAAAACAAGAGATGTTTTGTTTAGGTAAAATATAGCCAGACATGGTGGTGCGTGCCTGTAATCCCAGCTACTTGGGAGGCTGAGTCAGGTGAATCGCTTGAACCTGGGTGGTGGAGGTTGCTGTAAACCGAAATCATGCCACTGCACTGCAGACTGGGCAACAAGAGTGAAATTCCATCTCAAACACAACAAACAAAAACAAACACTGGGAAACAAAAAGGAGATATTAAGAGATGATATATTTAAATATTAGAAGTACTCTCTGTTGTTGAATAAGCTTAGATGTGAGTGGTAAAAGATTAAATGGAAGAGGAGCTACATCAAAGTTACTGTACTTGGGAGGACGTGATATGGTAGGATGTGGTGGGGAGAGAGCACGTCCATTGCTGGTTGGCAAGTGATTGGCTGCCTCAGAAAAGGATGAGGGTGGGTAGAGGTCACTGGAGATTATTTTAACATACCTATGTTTTCAAGACTGCTTAGTTTTTAAACCTCATAGTACCTTAATTGTTTTCACTGATGAAATAAAATACTATGTGATCTTTTTCTAATTTTCCATCTTGAGTGATGAGCAAAGACAATGTATTTTATGAAGACTTTGACTGCCAAAATTGGGACAAATTGATGGTCTTGTTGGCAGGATAAATGAGCATAACTGTAGTAATTGTAGTTCTTTTTATTGGGTTCAGGGGTGACCTGGAATAATGGATGTGTTACCCTTCCCTGTAGAAGTGAGGCTTTCAAAAAGAGGCTATAAGTCAAGTTGGGAGGCGCAAAAGTATCAGCACTTTTTGGGGATCTTTTTTAGGTAGAAAAATATTTTAAATCAAACGTGTGATGTTATGCATGTGCTTCTTAAGCACGATAACTCAACCAGATCCAACAGCTGGTCTAATAACTTTTTAATTGTTTAAAAAAATTTTAATTGACACATTGTAATTGTACGTATTTATGAGATACTATTTGACGTTTTGATATTTATGTTGTGCAGTTATCCGATCAAAGTAGTGTTTCCTTCATCTCACACGTTCATCATTTCCTCACACGTTCATCATTTCCTTGTGGGTTAGAACATTCAAAAGACTCTGTTCTAGTTATTTTGTAATATACAGTATTTTACTGTTAACCATAGTCACCGTACTATGCAACAAAACCCCAGAATTTATTCTTCCTACCTAGTTACAACTTTGTGTCTGTTGACTAACCTCTCTCCATCCTTCCTTCTCCCCTCCCCTTCCCAGTCTCTAGTAACCACTATTCTAATCTCTGCCTTATCTGTATCAACCTTTTATAATAGAAAAAGATTCTACATGTGAGTGACATCATGTGGTGTTTGTCTTTCTGTGTCTGGGTTACTGCACTTAACATGATGTCCTTCAGGCTTATCCATTCACAATTGACAGGACTTTATTTTTTTATGGCTGACTAGTATTCCATTATGTTTATGTATCACATTTTCTTTATTCATCTATGGTTGTATGCTTAAGTTGATTCTATATCTTGGCCATTGTGAATAGTGCTGCAATAAACAACGGGAGTGCAGATCTCTTCAACATACTGATTTTATTTCCTTTGGATGCATATCCAGTAGTGGGATTGCTGAATCATATGATACTTCTATTTTTGATTGTTTTAGGAACTTCCATGCTGTTTTCCATAATGACTGTACTAGTTTACAATCATACCAACAGTGTGTGTTCCCTTTTCTCCATATCTGTGTCAATACTTATTTTCTTTTGTCTTTTTGGCAATAGCCATTCTAACTGGAGTGAAGTGCATCTTCTTGTGGTTTTGATCAGCATTTCCCTGATGATTAGTGATGTTAAGTATCTTTTAAATGTACCTGTTGGTCATTTGTGTGTCTTCTTTCGAGACCTGTCAAAATCTTTTGCCCATTTAAAAATTCAAGCTGGCCAGGTGCACTGGCTCACACCTGTAATCCCAGCACTTTTGGAGTCCAAGGCAGGCAGATCACGAGGTCAGGAGATCGAGACCATCCTGGCCAACATGGTGAAACCCCGTCTCTACTAAAAATACAAAAATTAGCTAGGTGTGGTGGTGCATGCCTGTAGTCCCAGTTACTTGGGAGGCTGAGGCAGGAGAATCGCTTGAACCCGAGAGGTGGAAATTGCAGTGAGCTGAGATGGTGCCACTGCACTCCAGCCTGGCGACAGAGGGAGACTTCATCTAAAAAAAAAAAAAATCGTTATTATTTTTTCTGTTGAATTAAATTTCTTATATATTTTGGATTTTATCCCTTTGTCACATGTATAGATTGCAAATATTTTTCTCCCATCCTGCAGCTGTTTTCACTTTGTTAATAGTTTTCTTTAAGGTGCAAAGGATTTTAGTTTGATTTAATCTTATTTTGTCTGTGCTTTTGAGGTCTTATTTTTAAAATCCTTGCTCAGCTCAGTGTTGAGAATAATTTCCCTTTTTTCTTCTAGTAATTTCATAGTTTCAAGTTCTACATTTTAAATCTTTAATCTATTTTGATTTTTGTATATGGTGAGAGGGAGGGGTCTAATCTCATTCTTCTGCATGTGAATATCTAATTTTCCTAGTACCACTTGTTGAAGAGACTGTCTTTTTCCCAGTGTATGTTCTTAACATCTTAAAAAAATCAGTTGGCTATTGTAGGTGCAAAAATGTATTTCTAGGTTTTCCGTTTTATTTCATTGGTCTGTCTGGTTTTATGCTAGTTCCATGCTGTGTTAATGTAGTTTTATCGTATATTTTGAAGTCAGGTAGTATGGTGCTTCCAGTTTGGTGCTTTTTGCTCAGGATTGCTTTGGCTATTTTTTTTTTTTTTGTGGTTCTATATGAATTTTCAGATTGTTTTATTTCTGTAAAGAATGGTGTTGTTCTGATAGAGATTGCATTAAATCCGTAGATCACTTTGGGTAATATGGCCATTTTAACAATATTAATTATTTCAATCCATGAACATGGACTATCTTCCCATTTATTGATGTGGGAAGATAATTTCTTTCATCAAAATTTTATACTTTTCACTGTAGAGATTCTTTCACTTCCTTGGTTGTTTATTTCTAGGTATCTTTTTTAAAAAGTAACTACTATAAATGGAATTGTTTTCTTGATTTTTTCACATAGTATAATATTAGTGTATAGAAATGCTACTGATTTTTATATGTTGATTTTGTGTTCTTCAACTTTACTAAATTTATTCTAACAGT